CCCCCCCCCCCGCACGTGAATGGAGGGTGCGCCTACCCGCTGTTCGCGTGGCTTTAGAACCTTACAATCACCCAGTGCACCATTACGCAAAGACTTCTCTCCGCCTCTTCGTTGCTCGTCGTGTGCTTAAAACGTGTGTAGAGACATATTGCCGATGTCCCCATTGACGCGGCTTCAGAACATACCATATCATGCCACCCTGTACACCATCGCGTATCAAAGACGTGTGTCTCCCTCTTTGTTGCTCGTCGTGTGTGTGTATATATACAGCTGGTGTGCACGGTCCCCGAGCTCAACCCGGCCATGGACACGTACCGCGTGGGCACGGTTCTGGAGCTGGTCCGCGAGCTTGCCTACTCGATGGCCGACGTGGGCCTCAACACGCGAATCCTTATCCAGCCGAGTATGGGGGAGGGGGTGTTCAAGAGCCTTCCGCTAGCTCTGTCGGGGGTGATGTCTATCATGCAGGGGATGGACTGGGAGGACGGGCTCGTGGGGTCTCACGTCAACTTTGGCCAGGTAAATTCACACTAGTTTCGCCGTGCTGGTTGTCATGTCAACGCCGGCCGGGTAAACCACAAGCGATACGCACTACTGGTTATTGCATCATGTCAACTTTGGCCAGGTAAACACTCGCCACCCGCAATGCTGGCTATCACGTCAACTGTGACCAGGTCAATCACAAGCGACAGCGCGCACGCAAGTTCGCAGCAGTTTGCACGCTGGTATTTGACAATCGACTCAACTGTATCCATCAGGCGCCTTGCCGGTTGTGGTGTGTACGGTTTCATGAACTTGGTTGCACCGCTGTTGTGGATGGTGGTTGAATTCGCGCAAGAATCGTCTTGCTTGTTGTAGCGTTCCTGTTTCATTTGGTTGTACCGCTGTGGAGGTTGTTGGTTGATTTTTGTGGAAGAAGGCTTGTTGGTTAGCGAGGAATTGCAAAGATGCTCGGATGATGGTGCGAGTCATTGTCAGGCAGGCGCCACAGCACATCCCTTCCTGCTGCAAAACACACGGCGACGTACCGGCAGAATTCTGTTGGGAAGGTGCTCTGACGTGTTGGCACTAATTCCTTCTTAAGAGTCATCCAATAGAGTATGGTGGGTACGCGGTGCTGCTCTGTTTCCGTGGAGTGTGAAACGACTTTTTTTGGCTGGAGGATGTTGCAAAAAATTGCAAACTTTTTCTGCAACTATGCTCGGGAACTTTGTCAGTAACACTATTGGTGTACGCTCATTATGGGACGAAAACAAAATTGTGGACGGGACTGGCGGAATGCGGAGGTGTGATACTTTTATTTTTTAGCAACGGCGAGAAGAAGGCACACACCTTTCATATCGCACCGCGAAAAAAACGGTTTGAGCGTGCGGAACAGGGTATATGCAACCTTTTCCCTCCACACTCACGATACCCCAAGGCATCTAATCTGGTACCAGAAAGATGCTGGCTTGAGCTAGCTCCCTCGGGGTGGGATTTTGCTGTTGTTGTTGCCTCCTCCTCCGAGAAGTTATCGCTGTAAAACCAAACCATGAGCACACAGTCCCTGCGAACTTTTACTAACCGCTCTCTGACGTGGGTATTGTAGGGTCGATCAACACTTTTCCCCCGACGCGCACGATACCGCACAGCACCAAACCTTGGGCATGAAAGATGGAGCAGAGAGCTACCTCCCGCCGAGTGACCTTGCTATTGCTGTTGCTTCCTCCTTCGGAAAGTTATCGGTGGATAACCAAACCCGTGGCGGTCAAAAACACCGAACTTGAACTAACCGCTCCGTGCTCAGCAACTTTTTTCCCGGCGCATTCAGCACCTCACGGCCCCAAACATTGGCATTGCCCAACAGCCCATGGCATCACCTCCTTCCAGATACCATTCATGAGGCAACTCTAAGTTTTCGCCGAGATATCGGTGATCACACCCTTCCCACAATCGAAGCTGGAGAGGGCCTACGTGTGCGGTAGGGGTAGCAGCTTGACGTGGATTGGCGAAAGTTGCGCCGGGCAACTTTTCTTCGACACCCTTCGTGGCGAAAAGTTGCAGAAGTTTTCGTCCAGATTGCAACCGAGAAAAAGTTGCAAAACATTTTGCACAACTTTTAGCTCTCAGGCTGAGCGTACATTGGGAAAGTTACAAGAAAAGTTGCAGAACTTTAACTTTTCTTGCAACATGTTGAAGCCATATATGCGGAGTCTCTCTCTTGCCGACTTGTTGGTTCGTGCGGTGCACCGAATGCACGCAAGCACACCACCAGATTTTGGGCGCGGTGGCCGAGTTTCTTCGCACTCTGTGGGTGGAGGTGCGCACCTAGCACTCTTTGGCTTTTTGCGCTTTTTGTGTCAACCAAGCTGGGTCGGAAGCTTCCCGACCGGCAACTTTTGTCAACATGCCAGTGCTTTCTTGCCGCAGCGATATTTTGATATTTTGGCCCTCGCCTGGTCGACGCTGGGTGTCCCGCCAACCAGATGGGCTTCTTCTAATGCTCAACGAACGTAGGTTTCTTCCTCGATTGCTTGGGGACCAGGGTGTATGTAAGAGCAGTGGCCAAAACCAGGTCCATCAGGTACACCGTAGTGAGTTGTTTTCCCTGCTTGTGATCCAGCTCGATATTTGTGTTCGCTCCGTTGCAATGCGATTATATGCTTTGCTTGAGCACTCCTCTCTCTTACCAAAATGTCCGTGTGAAAAATGCGCATCGAGAAACGGGTAAATGCCGCGCGTTGAATAATCAAAATGTCTGGAATTGCGCAGGCCATGTGTGAACTAAAGCAAACACGGAAGTAGAAGCGTTGAACGAAAAACGTTGTTGAAGAAAGCTGAGGACTCCTCCCAGCTGAAAAAAAACAGCGGTAGTGTGAATCAGCATACGTTTTTGCTTTTTTCGGCCTTTTTTTGTTAGACCGCTGGAGTTTTAACAACAAAATGTACCTCCCCCATCGTGACGTTGCAACCCAACAGCTGGGGAACAAGGACGACGTTTCCGCTGAGGACGACGTTATCCTGGTCATCAGCCCCCAGAGCATCGCCGGCTACTCGATCCACCCGCTGCTGGTGGACACGGTGGAGCAAGCAAACGGACGGTGCGGAAACGAAAGACGGGTACTGTAGTAGCCTGCCGTCGGCATACATACATACGTACATGCCACGTCGTACAACTAGCCCTGCCCGTCGTGTGTTTCGCCTCTTTGTCGAGAGGGTAGTGGGTGGGGGGGGGCTAGCGCACGGAAGAAGTGCAAGATGCATGCGTGCACCCGTTTAAGTCGCAACCATACGGTGCTCTGCGACATTGCACTGGGGGTCGTCCTGTCATACCTAGGGCAGGGTTCATGCAAAGGAAGTGGCGGCACCAGACGCTTGTCGACCATACCTGCCCGACCTTGGGCCCGGGGATACTGCTGTACATGGGATTGCTACAGTTTCACCCGATGGTCGCGCCTGCCTGAATCGATCAAAACGGCCAGCGACCACCCTCTCTATATTGACATTTTTTTGGTAGACTTTTGACCTTTTCGCTGCACGTGACGTGAGGGTCCGGTAGACGCCCAAAACCGCAAGCTGCACAACGCCGAAGACGGCTACTGGGGACGAAGAGGGGGAAACACAAACACACCAGTCTTCTGGAAGAAGCATCGCCACCGAAGGCCGCAACAACAGCATTGCGTGGCGCTCGTTGACCGAAACGCTTCCTCCGCCGTCTTAGATGTGACCCGACTTTCCACCGCACCGAAACAAAAAAACGCACGCAGGCCGGTGGTGATCATCAACCCCAACCTCAAGGACCGGCCTAGTTCGGGAGGCGTGATGCAGGTGCGGGGACGCGGGGAGAGGATAGCGTTCGCCGAGAGCTTCAAGGACATCTACAACTTCAGGCTCTTGTACGGCAGCTCGGTGGCCTTCTTCCCCATCAAGGTTTGGAAGGATTCGTGTGGTTGGGGGCGGTTGTGCTCGTCTTGTTGCTTGGCATTTTGTATGTGTTGGGGGTTGGGGGTACTATCATAGTTTGTCGTTTGCCATAGCCTGAAAAAAATGTACTTTCTTTGAAATGAGATTTCCTTAGGGCCACATCACAGCCTGAGAGATTTTGTGGAAACAGAAAGCGGGGAGCTACCATTTTGGATCACAGATAAAATGATGGTATGATTAACTAGCGCCACCAAGGGACCCGTAGAAGTTTTCCCACGCCCAAGAACTCTTCGACTTATTTTTTTTCCAGAATGAGGACACAGGCTTCCCTCGTTGTGGAGAAGCCCAGGTCGCAGTAGTCTTGACCCACGAAGGGCTGGCAGTTTTAATCGTTGAGATTTAGATAGGAGAGGGTCTCAGAAGAGAGAGACAAGACAGTGCCGCCGAAGGGGCGAGGGAGACCAAGCCCGAGGGTCTCGGATTGCCAAGCTCCACAGGTAGCGCCAAGAGGGACGCGTCCATAGTCGGGTTTCTTGCTGATCAACCATCAGTAAGATCCTCCGTTCGGATCGTATCTTGGTCCTACTTTTGTATGTGCAACAATGGTTACAGCACTTCTACACCTGTCATCCACAAGAAGTTTTTTTCAGAACTTCACTATTTGGAACAGCTGCCTAGTCCAGAAGCCTACACAACCACCAATGTTGCTGATGTTGGGTCACCCCATAGATAAGAAACGCGCCTTGGCAATGTAAGACGTTCTTACGTGATGTGGCGGAATTATAACCCAAGCTGGCCATATCCATAAACGGACAGACACTCCCTTTGCTCTTGACCTACCGTAGGTCACCACACGCCCTGACCGATCTGCGAAGGTTCGATTACTCTGCAGCAAAACTGAAAATGGCGAGTTGGAGCTTCCTTGTCGCGAGCCTTCCGAAAACGTATCAGTTAGTTTCGGCATCTTCTTCGTCGCGGAGTAACCGATGAGCTTGAAATGTGTCCGGGGGTGTGATGTCTTGAGCAACGCACGGTATTCGCTCATACGCTCATACGCTCCCCGTCGAAGACAAAAAAAAACAACAACGATCGACCGCGGGGGGATTTTTCTGTGTAATCCCTGCTGGCACATCTGACACATTTCGAGGCAGATGCGGACGTGAAGTGTAGAACATGCGCACGAGGTGTATTGAACTTGTGCTTCTATGCTTCTATTAAAAGCCGCCTTACTCTTTGAGCAGGTCGTAAGTTCAAGCCTCGGTGCATGCGCCTGTTGCCCATCTTTTTTTGTTCTTACGACTTTTTTTTTCTCAGAGAACACGGAGACAACCCGTTGGGCATATTCCTGCCTTCCGTCCTGCCTGCGCACACCGCTTCTTCTCTCCACAATACCTCCGATAGAGAAGGTGTAACCGTTCCACACGATTGGTTTGGCAGTACACTCAGGAAATATCACGCCCATCGCAAAAAAAGTGATGTATGTGTGTTTTGCGTGTTTGGCAATTTTTATTCATTTGGCGCAGACCAAAATAGTGAGTTTGGAGCAACAGACTATATAAGCTCGGACCCGCAAAGCTTCAGGAACTATGACTGTACTCGAAAGAATCATTTCTATAGGTCAGTCTCCGCTTTGTTTATCCAAAACAAGGCAAACCCACCGATTCCGATGAGGATGTCAAGTCTTCAGAGCAGTGATGGTTTTTCGGTACTTCCGGGGTATTCCCGTCAAGTACTTGACTTCGATGACCTGCGGTCTCTTTTTCGGAAGAGACCGACTCTGTTGGCGAACCTGAGGAACGGTGCCTGCCTGTCCCACCCACAACAACCATGCCACAAACAACACCAACGGCGCACGGCCCACGTACAGAACGCGCCATGCTTTACGAATGGTCGCTATAGTCCATAGGTTTTAGTGTCGAGGTTCTTACCCGAGCTCACAAATAGTGCGCAAGTTCTTCGTCTAAATGTCAACTTTTTTTTATGGTTCAATTTCTTCTAGGCCCTGACCTGTTATGCCTATTTCTTGACATTTTTATGCACCTTTTTCGGCACGTGCGTAAGCTCAAAAGGAGACTTATGCACGCTGGTTATGCTCAAAATGGCGACTTATGCACGCTGGTTATGCTCATTTTCCTCGCGTGTGCTCGTACTTCTGCACGCTTTTCTTTGTCCCATGTGCTCGGGCAATGCTTGTTTTGGTCGTTAATGCTCGACATATGCGCGCGCGGTTGGCTTCGTCGACACGCTTTGTCTGTTATGCCGTCTCCCACTGTCAAAATGTATATGGATAATTAATTGTGTTGCTGTATCACACAGCGCAAATTATCTTGGACTCTAGTCTTTCAGGAAATGTTTCTTCGACGCATCCGACTACTACTACTCTGCACTCGTTCGTTCTAATAAGGGTGAAGAGGGGACTACTTTCCCGCATTCCCTTCACCCTTGGTCATCCGTGATCGCCATTCGGCAGACAGAGTAGATATATTTATTTCTGGAATCAATCGCGGTAAAATACTTCAAGCAATATAAATGCGCCTCCAACAGCCCCTGCTGTAACAGTGTCAAACCCATCAGAACACCAAATCGATTGCTGTCAGTGCCTCTAGAATCATGGACACATTGCATCCCCCCCCCAATAATTAATTGTCGATGCTACGAAAAATAGCAATAAATTTCAATTTAAAACAATCAACAGTCATAGCAGTGCGGGCTACTATTATAGGTTATTATTGCTGTAAAATGGAACACCGCTGGCATACCACGTAATGGCCACTGAACCAAACAGCAGGGTTGACCTGTTTGCTGCAACAAACCGCACAAACGTCAAGAAAAAAATTCAAGCCAAAGCCATGCCACACATTCAATTCCAACAGGAACAAAAATATGCACAAACACTTGTGACTTCCTTCCGTAGAATTCAACTGAAAATGCAGTACCAAACGAAACAGGAAAATAACAGCAACAAATAAGAAAGCGCCTCGAATACGATATATCGGACTCATATCCAAGACACCACAAACACACACCACGGGCAAAACAGCGTACTCGCGTACTCCCGTACTACTACTCTTCGCGCCCTCTATTGTACTTGATTGAGAAGGGCAGCTGCGGCAATGCGATCGCTGAAGCTCGACTCCTGCCTGTGGTCCATACACGCACGCAGAATAGACATGACACATCTGCCACTTGATGCGACAACATCTGGGAACAACACGGACACAGGGAGCACTCCCCCTACCCATACACAACACCGTCAATACCATTGTAAGCTATAATAGAACAACCTCTCATTCCTCTCTTCCCACATACTTTTCTTCGCTCTTTGTCGTTTTGTCTTTTTTTCTCTCTTTTTGTCTTTTTCTCTCTTTTCTGTGCGAGATGGCCTTGTCTCTGCTTGCGTTGTGATGTACAAAGATTGAACCAAGGGGTGTACCTCATTCTCTCTGGCCCGTGATGGTGACCCTAGTCTCAGTTGTTACCTCATACAAGCGCGCAGAGGGAATGGAAGACTCCAGAATATCTGTCGTTGATTTCTATTGACTTGCGGACCCCTCGGGGCAATTTATTCGTTGAGTGTATGTACCTTTTAAGGGTATGTCACCCTGCGACGACGGGAATCGACCACGTCGAATGTTGGATCAGTACGGACATACGAAGGTACCGGGTAGAGAGAGATCGGAACGGTTTTAATGTGAAGACAACAGCAAAGCAACAACAATATCAACATCCAAATGATGTAGATGCATGAAATGATACACTCTGGCTTTACTTATGGTCCGCGCTGCCTATAAATATATGGGAAAGGTAGCAATACCTTCTGCCGACACACGGGCGAGAGAGGCGACCATACCCACTGCATTCAACACACACCCATATGTCAGTGATGACACCCCAACCACACGCCTCTATCGGCGGCCACGTCAGGAGGCAACGATGAGATAATGTTCTCCCGTGCCCTTCTCACATTGAACGACATGCCATTACACAACTGACGAAAACACACACACAAGGTAAGTATGTTCTCCCGCGCCGCCATGCCCCCATACATCACAAACAAAAAATAAGTTGGTGACGAAACTATACACAACCCGAAACGCACTTGCTCCGCAACCACATAAAGGTGCAATAATAGAACACCCGACAAACCGAGTTCCCCTAAATCTTCCGTCTACAACTTCCCAACATAACATACAGATTGATACACAAGATGGCTACCAAACTGCCTTGTTGAGCCTGTTACCCACAGGGGAGTTCTCGTTGTATGCTGTCTGGGAAACCCTAGACATACAGGTAGCCTTTCGCTCACGCTATGGATTCATTGCTAATCTATCTTAGACGTATTTCTATAGATAGAGATGGATTTGTTGTGTGATTATTAAGAAAACAAAAAAAAATGCTCGCTCCATGAAGGCAGAGGATGGCTGAATCAGTGATGTGCGGTGTGTCCTGTGCTCCTGTGGTCTTGGTCTTAGGTCTTCGGTCTTTGCGTCTTTTCTCTCCTCTCTTCTTGTACAAAAGTCAAGTAGTTTGAATCAACAGTCATCAAGGTTGGTTTAAACAACGAATGTTTTCAATTAACACCGAATCTCCAATCAATATCAAGATCTACAATTTGTGGTCTGATCTGTGAACTTGAACTAAAGAGTCAAAAGACCAAAAGGCTTTGAAGGGGATAGAAAAGCTCTGTTTTGGTTACAATGAGCTGTCTGAGCGTCTGAGCCACCCCTTACCCCCATCTCACTCGTGCATAATCACCGCTATGCACGATAACCCCTGTTATGCACACTTTTATGCCTAAAAAAATGTATATATGCGCGCTCCAACTTATGTTTTTGCTTATGCACGAAAAGCCCAGTTATGCACAATCATAAGCATGCATAACAGGTCAGGGCCTAACTTCTTCACTANTGAGCCACCCCTTACCCCCATCTCACTCGTGCATAATCACCGCTATGCACGATAACCCCTGTTATGCACACTTTTATGCCTAAAAAAATGTATATATGCGCGCTCCAACTTATGTTTTTGCTTATGCACGAAAAGCCCAGTTATGCACAATCATAAGCATGCATAACAGGTCAGGGCCTAACTTCTTCACTACTGGTTTCTAGATCAAGTGGTGGTGCGTTTTGTGAATGATATTGTCTTGTCGTTCTGGTCCTCCGCTGGACTGGTGACTGGATGTAAACAAAACCATCCGATCAAGTGTCAGTGTTGTTTCTGTACACAACATGTACACAGCAGTGCACTTCTAGAGTACATTGTATACCTGCGTTTTGGAGACAAGCACCACGCACGAGAAATATGTGTCGACCTACGGTAAATGACACAAGATGACACACCCCGTGGACCGATTTTCAAATCTCGATATCTCAACAGTAGAAAGAGTCGCAGCACCGAAAATGGCGGCGTTGAAGCCGTCTCGTCGAGAGCTTCCCGAAACTGCATCGTTTCGTTTAGGCATATCCTTCGTCCTGGAGTAATCGAACTTTGAAAATTGGTCTAGGGGGGTGTTATCTTGTGTCAATACGGTACGTAGTACAGTTCTGACACGTTTCGGAACAGAACCATTTGTTTTGCTTGGTATGGTTCGGCGGGGGCAGGGGTAGTAGTCTTCACACGCCCTCTTGGCACCCCAGATATACCAGATAAAGACTGAAAAACGTTGAACATTTTTTCGCCGAACGTTTTTTTTTTTTTCAGCGTTGTTCAGAACGCGCGGCGAAGCCGCACTTTGATTTGGATACCATCGGCGCGTGAAGGTCCCTCGGGAGGGAAGAGGGGGGGTATCACTATTGGCTGCTTGCCCTGGTCGACCGCTTTGACCGGTCGTCATCTCGTTGGCGCAGACGGAAGGAGCATCGTTCCTGTGTTTCGGTTCCCAGCAGAGTCAGCTCCAACCGTGTAGTAGCTTTATTTAGTACGCTCTAAGCAACGTCTGTCACGTTTCTTTACAAGTAAAGCCTCGGCCTCCGCCGAGTTTCACCCGTAAAAAACAGAAAAGAAAAGCCTTCCTGCAACAGCAATAGGTGCTGCACATGTCCCGCTTCGGCGGAAAGTAGGGCGTGTCGATTGGGGTTGTATCGTGTTAGAGGGCATGGTCTGGAATTGGTGGCGTGGTACTTATCTGCCGGAAACATTACCGACACGAGAACAAGACGTCCTTGGCAGGGGGGGAGGGGGGTCGATCCACCTCGCTACCATCGCGATGACCCATACAGGACTGCGACTGAGCTGCAGCCCGCGAGCTGTATGGCTATGCCACATCCTCTCACCACTCTTTGCATCCGTGACCGCTTGTACGACTAACAGAGTCTGAGAACAAGCCAATAATCTCCCCCCCCCCCCCCCCCCCCCCCCCCCCCCCCCCCCCCCCCCCC